GCCATTGACCCCACTGGCTTCTATAATCCTTCCTTTCCCTCTTCTGCAGGATTCCCAGAACTTTGCCTAGTATTTGATTCCCTCTCCCTGCCACCACCATGTTTTTGTCTCTTCTGAGTCTCTGGGGTATCTGGCCTCTGGATCCTGGCCCTCGGGGGTGAGCTCCCTCTTTAGGGTATGGATCTCTAGTTGGGCCATCATTAGTTGGTCACGGCCACAATTTCAGCGCCATCTTCACCCTCACACATCTTGTAGGCAGGACAAATTGTAGGTAGATGAGTTTGTGGCTGGATTGGTGTCCTAGTCCCTCCACTGGAAATCATTTCTGGTTACAGGAGATAGTTGGTTCAGGCTTCATAGCTCCCATTGCTAGGAGTCTTAGCTAGGGTCACCCTCATAGATTCCTGGGAGTTTTTATTGTTCTAGGTTTCTAGCTCATCCAAGAGATGTCCTCATATTCTAGTTGTCTCCCCCAGTATTCACCCCCACCAGAAGCCTTTTAACACTCCAAGTTTACTCCCAATACCCAATTTCTTCAGTACATCTTAGATCTCTCCAAACAGTGTCCCCAATGGGAACCAAGCCCGAGACTGTGGGGTTAGTTTATCACTCAAACTATGACAAGGGAGTTTTACATTGTAGATCTGATGACTCTCAGATCTGGTTTAAGGATTTGGGAGTATCCATGTATGGTGAGGCATGCCTGAAATCCCAGAATTTAGGAGGCTGATATAAGAGGGTTTATGTTCAAGTCAACCAGAGCTACATAGTGACTTTTGAGGCTATCCTGGGTTCTTGCCCCCAGGGACCCTTCTCATTGTCCTGACTACATACATGTGGTTTAACATGACAACTATAGTAGATCTAAGTTTAATATTCATCTTGGAGTTGGTTTGACATGTTAGTTCAGTTTTTTTGCATTAGAAGAAATTATTCATTCTCACAACATTAATTGGCATCTTAGTAGAATTATTTGTCAAATGTGCTGTTAATGCATGTATATATTTTGTGCTGATTAAACAAGGTGAGTAACATTTCTATCCCTTTACCATCATTTCATGTTGAGTACTTTTGAGTGCCTGTCTTCTATAATTTCTTAGAATATTGTAGGTTATGGCCACCTCATTGTGCTGTAGAGTGTATGAACTTCTCCTTTACATCTGTTTGGTACCCATTATCTCATCTTCTTCATCCGTACTCCTACAACCTTCCTACACACTAATAAACATGATATTATATGATAAAGATTTTCTTTGATTTATCATATAAGAAAATACATGCAGTCATTTTCTAGTTTCATTTAATGAAATCTCCTTCAGACGTGACTAATCTTTTTTGGGTGTGCTGTGTACTCACTTCCAGATGGTAGATATAGGTACACAGGAGGGGTTGATGTGGGGAGTTGTACAAGGGATACTTAGATTTCCTTAGATACTTAGATAATACAATGATTATAATGATTATGGAAGCCACCAAAATCATGAGGATGCCATATCAATAATCTGATTTTAGCCTAATGTTTTTTTTTGTTATAGTGCTGCTGTTCTGTAAAATCTAGAGAATCACCTATGACAGCTATGCTTTTGGTCACAAATGACTAAACTTTAGAATTATGTAACAGGCAAAAATAAAAGAACAAATAGCAAGGAGCAGCTAAAACAACTGAGAGCAGAGCACCATCAGTGTACCCCACTCAAAAGAGATGACTAGAATAGCTGATTAGGAGAACAACGAATCCTTTGGGTATATACCCAAATGTGGTATTACTGGGTCATGAGGAAGGTTGTTTCCTAATTTTCTGAGAAATCACCATACTGATACCCAAAGGGGCTGTACCAGCTTGCACTCCCATCAGCAATGGAGGAGTGTTCCCTTTACCACAATCTCTCCAGCATAAGTTGTTATCAGTGTCTTTTTTGTTGTTGTTTTATTTTATTTTATTTTTTTATGTTTTGAACTTTATTTTTAAATAGATATACATATTTATTTCAGAACTGAGCATGGAATCTAGGGCCTTGTATATGCCAGGCAAGCACTTTCCCATTGAGCAATACCCTTCCTCTTCAGAAATCAAGTGATTTGAAACAACCATGTACACTTATTTATTCACCTACTTCTTTATTTCTCCTTTCTCTTTGGTAGAACTAGGGACTGAACCCAGGGTTTCACACAGACCCAGCAAGCTCCCTACCACTAAGTACATCCCCAGCAGAATGCTACACAACAGGCAAGCAGGAGGCTCTCCCTATCCATGGGAATATGAATGTTTGGAGATGCTTAGGGCTGGGAGCAGGAGTGAGAACTTGCCTGCAGCTCTATCTTTAATTTGTTATATAGCTTTAAACAAGGTACCTTATCACTATTTCTCTATTTTCTTATCTGTTTAAGCCAGGTTTATGTTGGCTGCTCACCCAGCAAATATATTTTAAAGATTAATGGAAGAGTTCTTACATCATAACTTTGAACCCTTTATGTCAAAATGCTGCACCATCCTTGTTTCACCATTAAAATTAATAAAAATATTGAACTTACTTTTATCTAAATGCCCAAAGGCTGTATCTAAAAGACCCAAGCATTTGGTTTCAATAGTTGCTACAGGTACTGAACAGGGCTAGTATTTGCTTTGAGCTGCCTGTATACAAGCATACCTACAAGATGCTTTCTTTCTTTTCTTTTTTTTAAATACCCATCCAAATTACCACTCCCTGTCTTCTTCCCATTCTCTCCACATACCCTCCCACCCTGCCCCCCTCTAATCCTAAGAGATGGTAAGGCACTTTGCTTTGTGAAGGGTCCAAGGTCCTTCCTACTACATCTAGGTTGAGCAAGGCATACATCCAAAGAGAATAGGATCACCCAAAACCAGTACATGCAGTAGGGATAAATTCCAGAACCACTGCCACTGACCCTTAGTCTGCCCCTCCCATACAACTGTCAACCACATTCAGAAGGACTAGTTTGGTTCTATACTTGTTCCTTCCCAGTCCAGTTGGAGTTGGTGAGCTCCCATTAGCTCAGGTAAACTTTCAGTGGATGAACCCTTTATGGTCTTGACCTCTTTGCTCATATTCTCATTTTTCCTACTCTTCAACTGGAACTTGGGAGCTCAGTCCAGTGCTCCAATTTGGGGTTCTGCCTCTGTTTCCTTCTGTTGTTGACAAAGGTTCTATAGTGATACTTAAGATATTCCATCAATCAGTGTTTTTGATCTTGGCCATTCTTATGGGTGTAAAATGGAATCTCAGAATTGTTTTGATTTGCATTTCTCTGATGGCTAAGGATGTTTAGCATTTCCTTAAGTGTCCTTTGGCCATTTTAGATTACTCTATTGAGAGTTCGCTATTTAGGTCTGTACTCCATTTTTTATTTGATTATTGGTTCTTTTGATGACCAATTTCTTGAGTTCTTTGTACCTAGATAACAATTAGGACACTAAGAGAGACATATATGGATCTAATCTAAATGGGCCACACTGTTGAATAAAGGTATGTAGTAGGCTTAAAAGAGAAAAGAATTAAAGAGTATAGAAAGTCATAAAATAAAGTTAATGCTTTAAAAAAGGGTAAAGTCTTTAAAGAGACAGAGTACAGAAAGTCATAGATTAAAAAAATAAAGAAAAAATAAGCCACGTAAAAATGGAAAATTCACAGAGAGTCTGGATTATGTGTATTATTGTGTTTTCTTTAAATTTTTTCACTTTAAAGGAGCTAAGTACAGAAAGACATTTCATTGTGTGGTCTGCTAAGCTAATCCAGCATGTATATCATAAAGGTATCTTGACTTCAGAATTTGGGTCTAAGGATATGATGCTTTGGAAAAGAGGTTCTTCTTTTGTTTTCACAGAGGATGAGACCCTGTTGATTGCTTCTAGACCAATATGATATGATAGACCTTCAATTTGGAGTCCCCCCAGTAACGGATATAAACAACCATCAGTTGCCTACAGTGCAGTGAGTGACATGTATGCCAGAGTTTAGGCTACTTTCTAGATATCATTCCTCATTACATCTTTGTATCAAATCAGGAATAGTGGCACATTTCTATAATCCCAACTCTTGGGAGGCCGAGGATGGAGGATCAAGAATTTGAGGGCATTTTTTTATATTTTTATTTTTCCATTAAAAATTTCCACTTCCTCCCCTCCTCCCATTCCCCTCCCATTCTCCCACTCACCCACCTCCCTCCCCCTCTAGTCTTAAGTGAGGGTAGGGTACCCTGCCCTGTGGGAAGTCCAAGGCCCTCCCCCCATTTGAGGGCATCTTGAACCACATAGTGAGATTGTGTCTCAAACAAAACAAAACAAAACAGCCTAAACTAATCAACCAACCAACCAAGCAATCAGCAAAGAATAACAATAAAGCAACTTATAGCATTTCTTTGGGTTTAGGAATATCCTTAACAGTAAACTTAGCTTTAGAGATGGGGTTTACATGCCTGATGTGTCTGTATAGTAGGGAATGATGATCCATATTAGTATATTATTGGAGCAATCAAATAGTTCAAGGAGGAAAGAGCTGCAGGACCCTCTACCTCATATCAAGACTCAGGAGTCTCAAGTTCCATGTTGTATTCATGTGCCCACTCACTCAGTGTGTTTCCTGATATCTTCTTGAGGACTGATGATATAATCACCAAATTGGTCAACTCATTTCACATGAAACCTATACTACAGATGGGAACATGGACATTTTGAGCACTAACAGGGTTCTGGTGCTATAATATCAAGGGAAGGTGCAGTGGCTCAGATGGAAAAGTCACTTGACACCAAGGGTGATCACAAGTTCAATCCCTAGGACCCACCTGGTATATAGGTGGGGGAAAACCAAGGATTGGGTGAGAACCAGCTAGGACACACCTTTATCTCGGAATTATTTGTTCTTAGTTTGCATTTCTAATTGTATGTTGTGGTTGCAATGTTTTTTGAAACATTTCATACAAGTTTAGTTAGGGTTTCTGGTGCTGTGATAAAATACCATGACCAAAGGTAACTTGGGGAGAAAAGGGTTTATTTCATTTTTCAATTCCATACCACAGATCATCGCTGAGATAAATCAATACAGAAACCGGAAGGCAGGAGCTGATGCAGAAGCCAGGGAGGGATGGTACTTATTGGCTTTTTTTCTCATTTTTTCAGCCTGCTTTTTTACAGAACCCAGGACTGCCAGTCTAGGAATGACACTGCCCACAGTGGGCTGGGCCCTCTACATCTCTCATCATCTAAGAAAATGCACTGTAGGCTTTTCTACAAGCCAATATTGTGGGAACATTTTCTCAACTGAGGTTCCCTCTTTCAGAATGACTCTAACTTGTATCAAGTTGACATAATTCTAGCTAGGACAGTATATGTCTACTTATTGGTATTGTTGTTCAGTACTTATTTTGAATGGATTTCTTGCAGACAAAGGAAAGAAGAAAGAAATAATGATAGATTAGCAAGGCGAAGGCTCAGTAGGTTAAAAACACTTGCCGTATATGTCTAACAATCTGTATTCAATTGTTGGAACCCACAAAAATCTTATGTATTTAAGGAACATATATGTATACACATATATGTGTGGCAACAATGAATGAAAAAAAGAGGCTATGAATTTGAAAGAGAGCAAGGAGGGATGTGAGGGTTTGAAGGGAGGAAGGGGGAGATATAATTGTATTATATCAGAAAACAAAAGAAATAATGTTTTAAAATAATTGGAAGGAGAAAACTGCACAAAGGTGTCCTCTGACCTCATATGAATGACATGACATGTGTGCACACATGTACCTCACACATGGACACAGAATACAAAAGTTGAATTGAGGATGGATCTGGAGATAAGGCTCAGTATAGCCAGTCCTTCTTTGGACTGCTAGTTAACAAATAACAGCATGGAGACTTATTATTAATTATGAAAGCTTCGCCTTACCTTAGGCATTTTTCCAATTAGCTCTTATAACTTAAATTATCCTGCTTTTACTAATCTATACTTTGCCAAGTGGCTTTTACCTCTCTTCCTTTCTGTATGTCTGATTTGTTCCCTGTCTTCCTGGTGTTTCTTATGCACAGAGATTCATCTCAAACTTTTCTCTTTGTCCAGAAGTCCTGCCTACTCTCTCCTGCCTAGCTATTGAGCTCTTTTTAAAACCAATGCAGTGAAACATCTTTACACAGTGTAAACAAATATACTGCAACAGCTTGGTTGTTCAGGACACTTGTTGCTCTTCCAGAGGACTTGTGTTTCATTCCCGGCACCCACAGGGCAGCTCACAGACATCTGTAACTCCAGTCCCTAGGGATCTGACACTAGCTACATACATGGTGCACAAACATACATGCACAAATATATTCGTACATATAAAATAAATAAATAAAATTAGAAAAAATGCTAAAGAAATATTCCCATGGCCAAAATGTTTTTTTTTGGAAGGTAGTTTTTTTCTAGGAAAGACAAGAGTGTTTAAAAGTTTAATAGAGACAGAGAATTTGCCTATAGTAGAATCTTAGACATTTCATCTCACCATGCCCCTTTAAGATGTTTTGCCAGACTGGGTGACACTACCTCTTCATTCCTGCAATGATGCCTTCCTTCCTCCAGGGGGCAGCATAGAGCTCATAGGGCTCCAGGTCCAGGAGTTGCCTTCAGTTCCCGCAAAGAAATTGCATTCCTTTGTTCCTCTTCAAGGGAATGTTGGACTCTCCATCTTCTCTTGTATTCCCGACTTGGTGATCTGTTGGTCCCCTCTTTATCCCTCTTCCTGCTGAGCCAGTCTTCAACCAAAAGCCATACTAGAGTCATCAGGACTATGCATGCCAGACCAATCCGAATGAGATTTTGGGCTGTATGATCCCAGAAGGCAAAGTCTTGAGTCAGAAGACAGGGTTGGCAGAGGCTACATCCACCCCATCCTCCCTCTTCTTTTTTGACATTCCTGCTTTTCCCTGTGCCTTTCTTCAGAATCTATGCTTCTAGATGTTCACTTACCCTTCTGTAATCCTGATTCTTCTTCGGCTGAAAGGTTGTACTCCCAATAATCTGAGGATAAGGAAAAGAAGAAGGGATGAATTAACAATGGTGTTGGATCCTTCCTTTAAAACATTTCTTTTTCTGTATAGGCCCCATGGCATCTCATGGCTTTGCAACATTGGTTCCCACCTAAAAATCCAAGGCCTCAGGGCTTCATCTGGAAATAGAGCAGACTAGTAAAGGAATGGATGTACTTAAGTATGGATTCACACAGAGTACTAATGTATGGTCATGCTAGACAGAAACTCTGGGGAAGCCTCATTTTCGTCATTCATTCAATATAATCTCCTTTTCACATGAAGACAAATTCACACATGACATTTTTTTCACCATCTGAAGGGAGCTCCACCCCATCCCCATCATCACTCCTATGATGCTCTGTTTTAAATATCAATTTGCCACAATCTAGAACTGTCTGAAAAGATAGCTGAAGTGAGGATTTATTTAGATCAGGTTGGCCTGTGGGCATGTCTCTGTGGTATTGCTTTTATTAATAATCGATGTGTGAAGACCCAGTCTATTGTGGACATCACCATTCCCTGGGCAGGGTTGTATGAGTGACATAGGAGAATGCTGGATGAAAGCTGAAACAAGTAGCATGGAGGCATTTGTTTCTTTCTGTGCTTTGTTGTGGATGTAATGCAACTAGCTGCCTGAGTTCTTGCCGTGACTTTCTCTCAGAGATGACCAAATAAATCTTTTTTTTTCAGAGTTGCTTTTAACCAGGGTGTCTTATCACAGCAACAGAAATGAATTTTCCACCAGAGAAGAAGGTATCTAAAATAGAGACCTGTAGTTGCTCAAGGAGCAGGGAATAAGAGAGACTGTCGAATTCTCAGCCCTAAATGAGTTTTATCACATGCCTTCTCCCAAGGATTAGGGATTATTGTGGAAGAGGGGGTGGAAAGACTGTAAGAGCCATAGGTAGTGGATGATCACAAGGAAACAGTGTCTTCTGATCACATAGGGTAGCTGCACATGCAAACTCTTGGTATTATGTTAGCATTTATATGGCCTGTGCAGGCTCAAGCTAGACCAAATCCCAACATGGAAAGAGGAGATAGGTGGTGAAGTCTCTCACCCCTGGAGGGGGAGCCATTATCATTTGATAGCTGCTAAGCAAGGGAAGAGTAGGTTTCTTTAGGGTTTTTGTTCCCTGGTGGACTGACCATACTCTGTGGAAGGCTACACATGCAAGATATTTATGAGTTTTAAAAAAGTGAAGGTACGGCCTGGCGATGGTGGCGCACGCCTTTAATCCCAGCACTTGGGAGGCAGAGGCAGGCGGATCTCTGTGAGTTCGAGACCAGCCTGGTCTACAGAGCTAGTTCCAGGACAGGCTCCAAAGCCACAGAGAAACCCTGTCTCAAAAAACCAAAAAAAAAAAAAAAAAAAAGTGATGGTACAAAAGTTGGGTAGTGAGGGGGTGAATCTGGTAGGAGTTAAGTATGATCAAAACATCACATGAAATTCTCAAAGAATTAATACAAATTTAAAAACTGAGATGAAACTAGCCCACACAACTGTTTTTGACCCCAGTGCCTCACAGGAGTTCTGTATCGTCTATATGTCTTCCCCATGGTTATGCATCTCTCTCCCTTTGTACCTCCAAGTAGTTTCCCTGTGGCTTTTATCCCAGATGCTTTCCACTCTGGGAAACCATCTTTCATATTGTTGCCTTCCTCCCCGATCAATTTCATGCATTATCTTTTCCTATATCACTGCTTCCCTCTTTATGTGCTAGAGAACACATTTATTTATTTTTTTCTGACTTGTCTTTTGGTTTGCTCCCTATTGCTACAATATAAGTTTCACAAAGGTAAGGATGTTTGGCTGACCGACTCTGCAGCAGCTGCTAGTTGGGTGATGTACATTAAATGGATGTTATGAGTAAATACCTCATTTTAGTGTCATTAGAAAAGTTCAATCTTTCCCATGGTGTGTGTGTGTGTGTGTGTGTGTGTGTGTGTGTGTGTGTGTGTATGTGTGTGTGAGTAGGCCAGAGGTCAACATTGGATACTTTTTTCAAATCCTCTCCATCTTAGTTTTTGAGACAGGGTCTTTCAATAAACCTTGAAATCGCCGATTCAACTAGACTGGCTTGACACTGATTCCCCCCTCCATAGCATCAGGATTGCAGATGTAGGGTACCATGCCTGGATTTTACATGGGTGCTGTAAATCCAACTTGGGTTCTCAGACTAAGTACTTTACCAATAGCTAATTCTCCAGCTCTTTTCTGGTGAATTTGGAAGTGACTCACCAAGAGAAGTAGGGTCTGTGGGTGCAAGGCTGGTGTTATCAACAGCTCCTAGAAATGGAAAACAATTTCAAAAAGTGAGAATTTTATGTCTCCTCCTATATCCTTTATTCCTTCACCTTTCTCTGCCCCTCTGGGGTTCCTGATTGGCCAGCTGTATCTCTAAAAAGCAAAGAACTCTTTGTTACCTTTTAAATCTCTGCCAAGGGCATCCCCTAGGGCTGGGCAAGACACAGGTGAGAGTGTCCTTACCTGGGATGAGTAGTGTCACAGGTTTACTGGGGAAAGACCACACATGGTCATTGTAAGAGCCAAAACATCTGTATGTCCCTCTGTGGGCTCTGGTCATAGGGCCCATGGGGAACTCTGCTTTGTTGTTCCCAAGTCTGTGCTGGATATGGTTGGATCTTCCCTCCTTGAGCAGAAAGAATTTGCTTGTCCCAGTCTCCAGACGACAGAAGAAGGTCACATTCTCTCCCAAGGTTACTTCAGGTCCTGGATGAACCCAGAGGTTGGGCGTGTCATACAGACCTGTGGGGGAAGCAGGGATGGTACATACAGCGCATTATCATACGTCAATTCCTCAATCCACTGCTTTCCTTTCCCTATGACCATGTATCACTCTTTAGAATCATGCTCACTCTGCTTCCTAAACTTGTGGTTGTCACAGATCGAGCCATTATCTTTTGGGACTAAGGTCTAGTTCCTGCATCTCTCTCTCCCCATGGCTTTGAGTTTGGCTCTCAGGACCAAAACCACTAACACCACCAGAAGCCTGAAGGTGCTCTACCCCTATCCAGAACCATTGTATTAGAAACCCAGGGATAGGATAGCCTTTTATGCTTTAAAAATTGTTAATTTTTGAGATTATAGTATAATTACACCATTTCCTTTCCCCCGTTCTCTCTCCAAAACCTCCTGTATACCCCTCCTTGCTCTCTTTCAAATTTGTGGTAGCCTTTTTTTCATTAACTGCTGTCATATACATATATGCATACACAAATATATGTATGTATATGATTATACATGTTCCTAAATATGTGAGTACAACCTGTTTAGTCTGTGTACGGTTACTTGTTTGTTTGTTGGTATGTTTTCAGAGTTGACCATTGGGTATGGGCTAACGGATTGGTGCGCTCTTTGCTGGATAAGACTGTTTCCTGCTGACAGCATTCCTTAGCTGCCTTTAGTTCCGTGTGTAGGGTTGAGGCCTCCTGGGCGATATACTGCCCTAAAGAAATCTTTTTTGGAGGTTGGGGGGAGAGAGCTGGGTAAGTAACTCAATTGATAAAGACCTGAGTTTGATCCTTGGATCTGGGTTCGATCTCCAGTATCTACATAGAAATCCAGGCATGGTGGTGCATGCCTGTGATCCCACTGATGGACAGGTAGAGACAGGCAGATTTGTTGGTCAGTGGCCTAGTGTATGTACTTGGTCAGTCCCAGATTCCAACAAGAGACTGTCTAAAAAACTAAGGTAAACAGTTCCTGGAAAATGATGTCTGAGACTGTCCTCTGGTGTTCACATGTACACACACACACACACACACACACACACACACACACACACTTCCCTGTGCACCCATGAACTGGCACACACTTGTTCAGAGCCATTAAGCATACAACACTGCTATTAGTATCCTTTGCCTCAAGAACTTTTTCTTCTCAAAACCAGAAACTTTTCAACTATTTTAAACAACCCCCTTTCTGGCTTCCCAAGATCTGGCAATCACCTTTCTACATTTATTTTTGTCTCTATGAACTCAATCATTCCAGGTAACTTGGTTAAGTTCAATCAGACAGTATTTGTCCTCCTGTGACTGGCTTGTCTCCATTTATGTAATGTCCTTGGGGTTCAGTCACGTCATAGAGTGTTCCAGAATTTTCTTCCTTTGAAAGGTAGACTAATATTCTACGGTACGAATATAGCACATTTCGTTTATCTATTTATTCACCAAGAGATACTAGTGTTATTGTTTCCTTCTTAGCTATTGGTTTATTTAGTTACTTATTTAATCTATTTTTTTCTCTGTGTGATTGTGTGTGCTATGTGTTGTGTATGCTCCTGTGTGTATATAAGTGTGTGTACCTGTAAGCTCATGTGTGGAGGCCGGAGGTGGGTGCTCTGCTCTATCTTTCTTCTTATTGCCTTGAGACAGGGTCTCACTAAACCCACAGCTAGGCTGGTGGCTATCAAGCCCCAGCAATCAGGTGTTGTTCCCCGCCCAGTTCTGGTGATGCAGACATACCTGACTTTTTATGTGGATTTGGCGATTGGATTGAGCTTCTCATGCTTGAACAGCAAGCTCTATTATTCATGAGCCATCTAACTAGCCACCTTTTGGCTGTTGTGACCAATGCTCCCCTGAGCATGTATGTGAGAGCTATCTGTGTTTTAAAAGGCCTCTAGGTGTTTTTCAAGCTAGGTTAAATTTGAGAGCCGTGTGCTTGGCTACATTTTCTGATGAAACTTCATTATGTGCCAACCTCTTCTTGCCCAGCTTTGATTCTCCTGTCCATCAGTTCTTAGACATACCCCGGCTCACAGTGGTCTACTATAGACACTTTGTTCAGAGATCATGACCTAAGATGCCTTTGATGCCAGGAGAGAAAGCTGACCCCGAAGTTTAACCCTGCAGAAAGTTGCTATGATTAGACACATCGTCTGACTTCCAGTCAAGATAAGCAGTGTCAGAGTTAGGCATAAAGAGTTTTCAGTGAGTGGGACTCTGAAATACAGCCCGCCACTACACAGAGAGGACCAAGAGGTGAGTGTCCAGCCACTAGGCAGGACACCCCACTCTCTAGGTCCTCCATACAGGGGCAAAACCTGGACTCTTCCCCCACCTGCCTCTGCTTTTCTAACCAGCCAGCAGAAGAGCTTCCTTCAGGTACACTGTTCCAAATCCTCCATCCCATCTGTTGGACCCTGAAAGCTCCAAGTCTCACTTGGCCTCTAAACCTTTCAAAATGGCCCCACCCCGCAACCTTGGAGGAATGCTGAAACACAAGCTGCAACTACACAAAGATGACCAAGAGACAAGCTCTGAAGCACAAGCTGTGACTACACAGAGTGGACTAAGAGAGCGAACAAGAAGAGAAGATCAAGGGAACAGGCCAAGAGAGAGGGCCGAGAGAGACCTCAGTGGCTCCCTGAGACACAGACAGTGATATTACAGAGAAGACTAAGAACAGTTCCCAAGACACAGACACCCACTGCAAGGATTGGACCAAGACACAAAGATACTGCCAACATCAATTGAAGAAAGAGATGGACAGGCACCAATGCAAGAATTCATCCAACAACCTAAAAAGCAGCATGGTAATACCAGAACCCAGTGGTCATACAACAGGAAGACTTGATCATCCTAACCAAGAAGTAGAATAAAACGATTTTAAACGTAACTTTATGAAGATCATTGAGACCTTTAAAGAGGAAATAAAAATCTCCCTTAAAGAAACGGAGGAAAAGACAAACAAAAATTGGAAGAAATTAATAAGTCTCTCAAAGAAACCCAAGAAAACCAAGAAAAAAAAAAACAATCAAACAGGTGAAGCAAACTGCTCAAGACTTGAAGAATGAAATAGGGACAATAAAGAAGACATAAAGCAAGGGGATTTTGGATATAAAAAAATCTGGGTAAATGAATAGGAACTATAGAGGCAAACATAAACAACAGAATACAAAAGATGGAAGAGAGAATCTCAGATGTTGAAGAAGATACTATAGAGGAAATAGATTCATCAGTAAAAGAAAACATTAAGTTGAGTAAATTCTTAACACAAAACATCCAGGAACTCTGGGACACCATAAAAAGACCTATACTAAGAATAATAGGGGTAGAAGGAGAAAAACTCCAGCTCAAAGGCACAGAAAATATATTCAATGAAATCATAAAAGAAAACTTTCCTAACCTAAAGAAGGATATCCCTATGAAGGTTCAAGAAACTTACAAAATACAAAATAGATAATAAAAAGGCTTCTCACCATATAAAAATAAAATGCAAAACATGCAAAATAAAGAAAGAATATTAAAGTGTGCAAATAAAAATTGGTCAATTACATATAAAGGTAGACCTATCAGAATTACACCCAGCTTTTGATCACCATTTATGGGGAAAACAAGATATTCCATGACAAAACCAGATTTAAACAATACCTATCCACAAATCCAGACCTACAGAAAGTACTAGAAGGAATAGCCCAACCTAAAGAAGCTAACTTCACCCACAAAAACACAGCCAACAGATAACCCTCCACCATAAAGTCCCAAAGAAGGGAAACACATGACTACTACCACTGAAAAATAACAGGAACTAATAATCACTGGTCATTAATATCTCTTAATATCAATAGACTCAATTTGCCTATAAAAAGACACAGGCTAAGAGAATGGATATGAAAGCAGGATCCATCCTTCTGCTATTTACAGGAAACATACCTCAACCTCAAAGACAAACAATACCTCAGACAGAGTAAAGGGTTGGGAAAAGATTTTCCAATCAAATGGACTTAAGAAACAAGCATATGTAGCTATCCTAACATCTAACAAAATAGATTTCAAATTAAAACCAACCAAAAGGGATGGAGAAGGATACTTTATAGTCATAACAGGAACAATCCATCAAGATGAAGTCTCAATCCTGAACATCTATGACTCAAATATAAGAAAAACTCACATATGTAAAAGAAACATTACTAAAGCTGAAATTGACATCAAACCACACATACTAATAGTAGGAGACTTAAATACCTTTCAAGCCAACTCTCCCCAATGGACAGGTCAACCAGACAGAAACTTAACAGAGAAATAAAAGAACTAGCAGATGTCATGAATTAAATGGACTTAACATATCTACAGAACATTCCACACAAACACAAAAGAATACACATTCTTCTCAGCACCTCATAGAACCTTCTTTAAAATTGACCACATACTTAGAAACAAACTAAACCTCCACAGACACAAAAAACTGGAGTAACCACTAGTATCTTTTTGGATCACCATGGTTTAAAATTAGAATTCAACAGCAATACTAACTTCAGAGAGCCCATAAACTCTCAAAAATTAAACAGTGCTCTATTGAACCACCCCTGGGTCAAGGAAGAAATAAAGAAAAAATTAAAGACTTCCTAGAATTTAACAAAAATGAAGACACAACATACCCAAACCTATGGGACACTATGAAAGTAGTGCTAAGAGGAAAGTTCATAACACTAAGTGTCCACATAAAGAAAATGGAGGAACATGGGATGTACTCATTCATATTTGGTTTCTAGCCATAAATAAAGGACATTGAGCCTATAATTCGGGTTCTTAGAGAAGTTAAATAAGAAGGAGAACCCAAAGAAAAACATATAGGCATCCTCCTGAATATTAACCTTCATCAGGCGATGAAAGGAGACAAGAGACAGAGACAGAGACCCACATTGGAGCACCGGACTGAAATCTCAAGGTCCAAATCAGGAGCAGGAGAGCGAGCACAAGCAAGGAACTCAGGACCGCGAGGGGTGCACCCACACACTGAGA